TAACTGGTCAGCACGGGCACACCCAGGGGTTCGTCCCTCACATGTGTTCAGCAGAGGCTTGGCAGGCTGACTGTGCCCGTGTTCTGGAAACGGGAAGACTTCGTGCCCTTGGGGGACCTCGCTCTGGTGGGTGGGAGTGAGACCCTGGCACACGGCGGCTGAGCTCGGGGGGAGAAGCACCGGGGCTGGCCTGGGGCTCGCCACTGCCCAGGTCTCAGAGGTGGACTGCACACGGGGTGCCTTTCTTCTGCCCTCTCCTCCGGCCCTCAGCTGGGCAGGGGGCTGGGAGCAGCTGCCAGGAGCCGCTCAGAGGATGCCTTGATGGGAGACCTCCCTGCCACCCCCACCTCCACAGAGCTGTCCCCTCTCCTTCTCCTGTCACCTGAAYAGGCCTCTCACAGCCTCCGTGCACACTCGCCCTAGCCCCTGCCACCATCACCCTCTGTCCTCCACCACCAGTGGGTGCTGTCCTGTGTCACTGTGCCCTCCACCTTTAATGACCACTTGTGACCCACCATGTTGTCATCTTTCCTTGACTTTGCGGACTCCACTGGGGCTATACACCGAGAAGGACACAGCTGAGAACGCGAGGAGAGCCCCAGGACAGGAGAAGGCCTTGGTCCACTGCTCCTTCAACAGGGGACTCTTATCCAGAATATATAGGAACTCAAAACCTTACCGCCTCTTTAAAACCTAAAAGACAAACGACCCGATCAGTAATGGGCAAAAGAACTACACAGACTATTCTCAAAAGAAGATGTAGAAATGCCCAGCCATATACAAAAAAAAAAAAGTCCCACATCTCTAGCACCCAGGAGATGCAGACCAAGACTACACGGAGATTTCATCTCACTCCAGTCAGAACGGCGGCCAGCGAGCATACAGATGATAACGCTGGTGAGACTGTGGGGAAAGGTGCACTCCCAGAGTGTTGGTGGGACAGCAAAGGAGGGCAGCCACTCTGGAAGTCAGCCTGGAGATCCTCCAGACCTTGGGAGTGGAGCCACCATAGGACCCAGCCAGGCGGCTCCTTGGTATTGACCCAGGGGAGCTGAAATCAGCACCCCGGAGAGAGAGGCACGCAGTGTTACAACAGCTCAAGTCCCAAGAGCCAGGTTGGGAAACCTGTCCAGAGGCTGGTCAACAAAAGAACGGATACAGAAAACGCGGTCCGTCCACACAGGGAGCTTGACCCAGCCATGAGGCATGGACAGGTGGCACTGGCTGGTGAGTGGACAGAAGCCGAGAGCACCATGCTGAGCTACAGAAGCCAGACTCAGGGCTCAAGGGCCAGACGCTTCCCCTCACTTGGAAGTTAAAACAAAATAAGGGGGGAAAGTGGGGGGTGGTCCCTTGAAAACAGAATGGGGATCAGTGGAGTAGAGGGAGGAGTTTGAGGGGGAGGGAGGAGAGACAGGAAAAGGGAGGAACCGCAGAATGAAACGGACGAGCCATGGACACGCCTTGGACGAGCCATGGACACGCCTTGGACGAGCCATGGGCACGCCTTGGACGAGCCAGGCACCGCGGCACACGCCAGTAATCCCAGTGGCTCAGGAGGCTGAGGCAGGAGGATGGTGAGTTCACAGCCAGTCTCCACAACTCAGCAAGACCCCATCTCTAAATAAAATACAGAAAAGGGCTGGGGATGCCGGGGATGGGGCTCAGTGGGTAAGCACCCCCGGGTTCCATCCCTGGTACCAATAAAAAAAAAAAAAAAAAAGAATGGAATGGACTGAACGTTGCCATGTACCTGGATGAAATACAGGAATCTGCCCCAGTGAGTCTCACCTTTATACAGGTCTGCAAAGCACCAATTAAAAAAGAAAAAAGAGCAAATGGAAGGCAGACCTCAGAGTAGAGGAAGGGAGCCGGGTTGGGGGAAGCCCTGGGGAGTACATGGAGCCTGTTCTGTCCCCTGCATGCATGACAACGTCAAAACGAACCCACTATTGTGTGTAACTATATATCACCAGGGCAAACTTTTTTTTAAAAAAAGATATAAACAGAAAATTTTAAAAATGAACAGAAAATTTAAAAAATTTAAAAATCCCCGTGCTCTCTGCACACTCTAGTGTCGCCATGCTCCGGGCAGCCGTAGCAGCCGCAGGAGACACGGAGCTGTGGTTCTCTGGAAGGTGCGCAGCCTGGGCAGCAGGACCCCCCCAGGCCAAGGAAGAGACAAGGACAGAGTCAGAGGCCGGGGTCCGCTCTCTGGAGGGCGGCAGAGGACACGCGTCCCGAGTTTCCCACCAGGGTGCCGTCTGCTGCGTGCTCCTCGGTGTAGACTCCTGAAGACCATCTCACAGAAGCTCGTTCCACACAGCCAGAGAACAAGGCCCCATTTGACCTCTAAAATGGTCTTTTTCATCTTCCTCCAAACCTGGGGGCTTACTGAGTAGGAACGGGAGGGCTCAGGCCGAGTGGGCTGCCAACAGGCAGTCACCTATCACCAGCTAAAAAGACCACTTCATGCGCTTCCAACAAACACCCAGAGAACACTGAGCCACAGAGCTGCAGGGTTCTCTCCCGCAGAGACTCGGGTGGCTGTATTGTGTGTCACTTCCCAAACGTCTATCATCAGTTAGACAGAAAGAAGACAATCTATGGCCCTCAGACAAGGGATGGCTTTGTGTTTTACTAGAGTTGGAAGATTCCTCTGCAGAGAGTGAGCGAGAAAGGAGAACAGAAAAGGAGAGGTTTAGGGGTTTGCAGGAGAACTCTGAGGAGGAGAAATGAGAAGGCCAGAACCACTCTGAGCCCACGCTCGCCGCAGGACCCAGCAGATGTGCAGTTTGCACCTGCCCAACTGAAGGGAAAGCTGCGTCCACTCAACAGCCTGCCCAGGCAGACGGCAGCTGCTGTACTTGTGCCCACAGAGCTTGGGCGCACCGGGGTGGCCTTTAGGAGTGGCTCTGCAGGCCCTGGAGTGCTCTGCAGTGCCACCAAGCCCTGCAAGGACAAGGAGGAATCAGCTGCATCACCAGGAGGGAGGGCCCAGGGCCACCCGACGACCCCACTGTGTGACACTGGAACAGGCAAGACCACTGAGCCCGTGAGAAGATGTGGTGGCCAGGGGCTGGGAGTGGGGACAGAGCAGGCAGAGCTCAGGGGGTCTGTAGGCAGGGACCTTCTTGCTCTGTGTGACACTTTACTGGCCCACACATCACTATGCGTTTGTACCCAGGGAAGGCGCAGCAGCCAGGTGGACTTTGATGCCAACTGTGGACTCCGGGTGGGGCTGACGTGCCACGCGGGCTCCTGGACTAGCAAACACGCCTCTGGGGGGCAGTGGGAGGCTGTGCGCGTGGGACAGGAGGTTTATGTGCGCTCTGTACCTCCTGCTCAGTTTTGCTGTAAAACAACTTGCTTTTTTTTTTTTTTAATGATCTGTTTAAAAATTTCAAGAGGTCAAGAGGGAAGGAAGAGGAGAAGGCAGGACACGAACATCACCTACAACCTTACCCACTTTTCTGTTCGCCCAATAAGTGCCATCAGTCTCCTCTCTACCACATATTCTGCCCCTAATTTAAGAAGATCAAGGGCGATTTTATGTCACAACAGAAAGCAGAATGCAGACGGTCTAGAAAGAAAAGGACTTTTTCTCAAGATGAAGTAAGTAGGTGAGTGGACTTCCTTTGACATTTTTGTTGCAGATCCGTGAAAGTGTTCCTGCACACAGGCACTAATCCAGCCAAGCCTCGCAAATTACTGACCCACAGCACAGTGAAACCAGAGGTAAGAAATTGTGCAGACCATAACCTCTATTTTATTAGCAACCTTTTAAAACATTAAATGACCTAAGTCAATTTTCTTATGTAAATCCTAAATATGCCTCGCCAGCGACCTGCCAAAAGATAAATTGAGTCTGAGCTGTTTATGTGCAAATTCCACCTGTTTTATGAGGACGGCTGACCTTGTGTGGCACCACATTATATGGTGCCTCCGCCTGGGGCTCCTTGAAGGATACTAAAAGGTTGAGCTGCCACAGAACATCTCCACTCTGCCCTTTTTAGGAAATGACTCCTTAAACACGGGCCAGACAGTAAAGACGGGGACTATCTTCAGGAGATAATAACTCAAGTGTGAGAATGTGGCTTCCCACTAGTCATCGAGCAGAGGTTATGATCTTATATTGACTACTCGGAGCCTCAGCCCTGGAAGGGAAAAACATAAGTCTCTTCTAAACTGGAGTTGAGAGTCAAGGTCAGCTTGGTGGACAGGTAGCAAGAGATGCTATCCCACAAATTCAGACCACAGCAATTAGGGAACTCATAGTTACTGCTGGCCTGGGGACCCCAGGAATAGATGGAGCCTCCATGCCAAGACTCTGACTTTGACGCAAGCTTAAGTGCTTACTAATTCAAACCTCTAAAATAACATTTTCCCTACATAACTAAGTAGAGCTCAATCCCTGTCTCTATCTTATAAAGGATGGAATTTCCTAAGCCAATGTGATCTTGATGCTAAGGGAGTCAGAATATATCACCCCAAACTATGGCCCCTTGCATTTAGTAAAAAAGGGGGGGGGCTCTGACCTCCTGCCGCCTGTCTCCTGGAGCAGGTCATAGGACAGTGCACTGGTCTTCCCCACCATAGGCTACAAAAATGGATCTCCCGACACCCAGAAGAAAGCATTTGGGGACAGAATGGGTACTAGTGGGGCACCCTGCACTTGGTCACTACTGTCAGGCCACACCCTCAGCCCAGCAATCCCAATGCCAGGCCGCCCCAGAATAGGCACTCTTCCCTCTTCCCGTGGGTCTTCATTTTGGAGGTGACTATATCACACAAAATCTACAATAAATAAACTTGTGCTTTGCCATGAACCCAGTGCCAGGTGAGACAAGAACTCTCTTCTCCCTACCATACACCTCCAAAATGCAGGTCACACTGGACCGGTGCTCACCCCTGGGGGGCCCTAGGAACAGGAAGGAGCACCCCCCCCTGCACACAGAGGTGGCCGGCGGTGGCCACGCCCAGCGGCAGAGTCCACCTACTTGAGAACTGGATGGAGAAACCCGACTTGCTGATGAAGAAGTCGCTGTCGAACTGCAGCGTGAGCGAGTTGAAGGTGCTGTGGATGTCCTCGGGCAGCGCCGAGCCGCTCCACTCCTTCAGGAGGATGCTGCTGTCCAGCGGCCCGTCCCACACCTTGAGGATGTCGTGTGCCAGCTCCGTGTCGAACACGATGAAGTGGAGGCTGCAAGAGAGAGCACAGCTGTCCACGGGCTCCCTGCCGTCCCTGCCCGGCACCACACCCCAGAGACTTCAGGAACCCGCTGCACCCTCCCACCCCTCCAGTGGTGCAGAGGGGACTGAAGGGACTCATGTGCGCATTAGCACACAGCATGAACTCCTCAGTCTGTCGGGCTGCAGAGAAGCCAGGCTATGGCTCTCCGTTGGGATTGGGTCTTTCTATGATGGAATCCAACCTGCGCTAACCCTAATGAGGGTGGAAGTCCCTTCCTCCTAGGCTGACCTAGGTTTTCCTGATCTGGTGTTGCTCCTAAGGTGCCCGGCAGGTGACAGCACGCACATCGGGGAAGGATGCCCTGGGCCACCTGGTTCCACCCAGCACAGTCCTCACCCCGGTATCCACACAGGTGGCCCCGGGGTTGTGTTTCTCTCTATACATTTTATCTTCAGAAGAAGACATTATTTTAAATCAGCACAATGTCAGGAGCGCCTAATGCAAATCCCTTCCTATAACGCCTAACACACTTGCATCGGGCTTGCAGGTGTTCCGGGGCCCCTTGGACCTTCAGTAAGCAGTTTGGAGAAAACTGATGTCTTTTTCACTATTGAACCTTCTGCCCCTGTATGATGTGCTCCACTGAACTCCACACAGGAGCGGGATGGGAGGGGACACCAACCTACAGGAAAACCTGGCGTCGTATCTTCACGACCTTTGGAAGTCCAGGTCTTTCCTTCAAACAGAAAACCACTAAGAACCATCAGAACAACATACATGATAAGGCATTTAAATACAGATCAGAAATTCAGGAAACATAAATAAAAATCAGTGAAAACAAATCCAACATTAAATGAAAAATCAGTGTTTAACAGAAGAAAACTTCAGGATACAGGAAAGACCAAAGAACATAGGAACGAAGGTGTGAAATATGCAATCAATGAAGGTTGCCTTCAGAAAAGGTAGACACCAGGTGGAGACTAACAAGGAAGACAGCCTGGATGCAGAAATGGGCTTTAAGGAGCAGGGCATCAGAGGGTGCTCAGAGGGCCACTCAACATGTAAGAGGCGCTGGCCTTGATTAGTCTCCAGGAACCAAAATGCAAACTCCTGTGGCCCCCAGGTGCCAAGTGGGAATCAGCCAAGGTGGAGTGCTGAGAAGGTGGAGAGCCTGAGGCCTGAGACGGGAGTGGAGACAGGTCTACAGTGACTGGGTGACGGTTCTCCACTACCCTGAGAGCCTGCTCCAAGGGCTACCTGAGAGCAACACAGGTGCACCTGCACCTTCCAGTACGCCTCAGCACACGGGGGCAGCTCCAGCTCGAAGCCACCCAGAGCTGATGAGAGCAATCGCAGCACCCAGCACCCCCAGGGTGGGTACATACATCACAGCGCCCTCATGTACCCGAGCAGATGGACACCCAGGGAGTGAAGGCCGAGGAGATGAAGCCAGACATAAAACAAAGCCCTGAGTGTTTCCATCCTGTATGAAGTTCAAATTCAGCAAAACTCATTTGAGGACAGAATAGTGAGCATCCTGGGGGAGGGATAATTGTGTAGGAATCACAGGCTCATCTTGGTCCTGATGATGTTCTGTTAGTCTAGTGACGTGAGGCTGCACTTTTTGTGAACAAACTGCACTCTTATAAGTCAGGCAGTTTTATGCACATGTGTTATGTGCTAATGGAACTTGTGTGAGCAAACGAACGTGCACCCTGGTGCCATGAGTTTGGGATCTTGGAAAAGATTTTGCAACTTCAAAGAAAATATGGTAAGACAAAATTAAATATTGAGAAAGTAGGAGTCATGTCTCATTCAAATGAAAAACTACTGCACTTAAAATGACCCATACTGAATGACCAGGGGAGAAGGTTTAAGAACTGAGTAGAATGTGGTCCCATCCTAGGGCACTCTGAGTGTCAGCTGCTGGTGTTAGAAAGAAAAACCCCCACACTGCAGAGGCTGGGGAGGCTCCTGTGAGGCCAGGAGAAAAGGGCAGGGGATTCAACAGCAGGGGACTGAGTGGGGAGGGAAGTGGAAAGGTAGGGGAAAAAACTGGCTAAAGATACAAACAGATGCAAATGGCAGGAGCAGTCCAAATAAAGCTGTCTACAAACACAGCAGATTAAACATTGTAGAGTTTTTTTCCCAGCCACAGTGGCAAAGGCTAGGGGCTGCCCAGACTCAGTAGAACATGGAGGTGTGGTACATTTTCATGGTCTAGTGTGGTCACGTGTTCTCCTTCTACAGCACTTTGGTTATGGCTGTGTGAATTCAAATGTGCAGGCACAGCAAGTCCTGCTAGAGAGCCCTCCTAGAGAGAACTCTTGAGAGAGAGGCTGGGAGGACAGGAACATTACTCCCAACAGCGAAAAAAATCAAAAGCAACCCGAGTATCCAAAATGCTATTGTTTAAATAAATTACCTTATGTTCAGGCAATTAAATATGACTCAACAACTGCATAGACTGAAGTAGAATTCAAAGTAAGGTCATAAAAAGTGTGGCCATGTTTACTAACTAAAAAAAAAAAACTTTCAGAATAATATTATGCTATGATACTGTTTTTATAAAAATATATAAATATATAAATCAAATGTTATATTTGAATTTACATAAAAATTGTAAAATATATACCATATTTTCAACAAAGTCTTTTTTGGTTCAGAGGATGGGTACAAACTTCTTTTAGGGTTTTCATTTTATTATAGTACTTTGTTATATCAAAACAAAGAGAAGTGGTTAACCTTAGAGGCCATTCCAAAGACCTTGAATTTACCGTGCATTTGAAGAGCAGGCAAAATGGTTCAAGTGTCCACAGAAGTCATGGGCATTGACAGATGGAAAGGTTTGCACTGGAACACGTGGAAATGTCTTGCCATTTGATTCAGCAAGTCATTTTGTAGGGATTTGTTTGTATGAAATTAATTATAAAAATAGGCAAACTTGACTTAGAAGACTATTTGACATATCATTATATATAGTATCAAAAACTAGAAATATAAACACTCAACAGAGGGACAGTGTTTAATTACAAGTGCCCACACTACAGGTCAGTTTTTAAATTTGCATCAGCACTTATTATTTTCCTTAAACACTACAGTACACTGACTCATATCTCATATTGCATTAGGCATTGCAGAAGTCGGCAGTATTTGGGAGCATGTGTGCAGGTTATTACCTGTAGATTCTGTGCCATTCTGTATATGGGACTTGAGCCTCCAAGGATGTTGGTATCTAACAGAACCAGCAGATCACCTGAAGATCAACCCCCCCACCTAGAGGAGGATGACAGGCATGAACGGGAGCCAGAGGCGCAGGGCAGGGGAGGGTCTGGAGTGTGTGTGCAGGTGTGAACTGGGGGAGCTGGGATGCAGCTGAGGCTGGAACCTAGACCGGCTCCCACTCTCCCTTGTGCTTTCCATAGCCTGAGACAGCTCCAGGAGTGCCCACGGGGCTTTCTGCTCTCACTTTCTGCAGGCTGGATTCGAGCCTCACTTCTGAGCTCCCCTGTGTTCACCTTCCTGCCTCCCTGGCTGCCACCAGGTCTCCAGTCCTTCTCCAGGGCTCCCTCCAGGTACAAGGTGAACCTCACTTCCCTGACATCACTGTGCATTTCCAATTTGTGAAATGTCCAGTGGGTGCATCCCTGGGACTCAGGAGGCAGCTCAAACACACACCTTGCTGCCTCTGCAGGAACTGAGTGGCAGACACCAGAGCCCGGTCATTGAAGACCTTCCACAGGAGACTGGTCAGTTCTTGAGGACCGTGTGGGTGGTGTGTGACTGTTACTGCATTCACACAGAGACTTGGGGACAGAGAATAACAGCACCTTTGTCCCTCTCACACTTCCTGGTGGGTTAGTGGACCTTGATAAAGGTGAGCCATGCGCTTGGAGATGTGTAAGTGGGGTAACAGGTGGCAATGGAAATTGTGTGTAGGAGAACCTTGCAAGCTAAGGGTGCTCACTGGTTCCTTCCTCTGCCTCCCTCCCTGCTCAGTGGCTGGTGAAGGCAGCCACACCCAGTGGCCTCTCCCCGGATGCAGGCTGAGCCCTGGAGGAGCCTAAGGCAAGGGGCAATCTTGAAGTCTCTGCTGCTCTCCATTCCCTGGCTGAAATCCTCTTAACGAGTTATTTCTTCACATTATCTAAAAAAGATCAGTGAGGTCCACTGTGATATTTATTGGTGCATTGAGATTGTACTTAATGGTGGGATTCATTGTTCCATATTCATACATGCATACATTRTAACAATAGAATTTAGAATTTAGCTAATAGAATTATCCAGAATTTCTCCTCTCCCTTCCTACCTTTTTCTCTCTGGTCCCATTCCTCTACTGATCTCTCTTCAATTTTCATGAGATTGCCCATCTCGTTCTTTTCCATTTTTCTCCCTAGCTTTAACATATGAGAGAAAACTTACAGCACTTTTCTTTCTGAAATTGGCTTATTTTACTTAATATAATGTTCTTCAAGTTCAATCTATTTCCCTGCAAGTGACATAATTTTATTTTTTCTTTTAGGGCTGAGTGAAACTCCACCGAATATATACATCCACATTTTCTTTTCCATCGATGGACATGTAGGCATTCCACAGTTTGGCTATTGTGAATTGTGCTGCTATGAACATGACTGCATGTGTCACTGTAGAATGATGACTTTAATTCTTCAGGATAACTGTCAAGGAGTGATAGAGCTGGCTCATATGGTAGTTTCATGCCTAGTCTTTTGATGAACCTCTATATTGATTTCCATTGTGGTTGTACTAATTTACAATCCCACCAACAGTGTAAAAGTGTTCCTTTTTCTCTGTATCCTCTCCAGTATTTATGATTGTTTGTATTCTTGATGGCTGCCACTCTAACCTCTAACTGGAATGAAATAAATCTCAGTGTAGTTTTGATTTGCATTTCCCTAATTTATAATGGTGTTGAACATTTTTTTTTCATATATTTGTTGGCTGTTTGTATTTCTTCTTCTGAGAAGTGTCTGTTTAGTTAATTTGTTCAT